TGATAGCCAAGACATAATATTGATTTCCTTGGCTGCTGCTCTCCAAATATGTTGAAATTACAGTTCCCAGATTTTCAAGGCAGCATCACTTGCACTGTGTTGATTGGGAATTCTGCTGGTTCATGCCCAAGAAATGAGGAAGAAGATGGTAACTTTATCACAAAGGCTCTGATAATGACCTTGTTCTCCAATTCACAAATCCCCAGGGGCTTGTTTTATTCATTCAAGTATAAGATAGCATTACACATTCTTGACTGAAAGTAGGGTAGTAATATCTTGTTTCTAAACCTTGAGCAGTATAAAAAGGAAATTGGGAAGGCATTTAGTAACTCAGAAGAATATCTTTGCAGACCCACCAAGAGTTGGAATTTAGCTATAGTATATTTTAATCCAAAAAGAGCTCAGTAAAGTAGTTACTCTTGCCTGACTATTTCTAAAATTGAGGACCAAATCAGTCATACATTTTTGCTAAGGCCCAGCTAAATATAAGGTATGTCTTAGGGATTCTGTTGCCCTGACTGGGTTCTCATTTCTGCACAAGTCAGTTATAAAGCCCCAGGAGTTGTGATTATGAGGGGTCATATTCAGTTACAACTAGTTATCTGAAACCACCCATCTCCTGCACTACTCAGAAAGAGAACAATGAAACAAGCTCCATGAATGATTCCTGAACATCTCCAGAAAGAAGTTGAAGCAGCAGGCATATTCTATCCCAATCCTAAGGCAGCAACTCCAGAAAGAGACTTGGAGACCTTTATTTTTTGTAGCAAAGTAATTTTCTTGTCCGATACTACTACATCAAGTAGAATCTGAGCCTCTGTCAAGCTCTACACTATTATGTGTGGGATGTTAGTAATGGCAGTAGTTTTCCAAAATGCAACTGGTATTTTGTATACACATGAAAATATGATTATATATATGTATAGTAATTGAGTACAGTACAAGGCATATCACTTGTAATCATAGGAGAGATAGGAAGTGCCAAGAAGACTGTGCATTTTAAGTTTCAGATGTTGCTGTCATCTGTGTTATAGAGTGTTCTTTCATTTTTGTTCTGGAAAGTGTGCAACTTTACACCCTTTTTCTTTTATTTCTCAGCAATTTTATTTTAAATGAATCCTTTCCTGTCTATCTGTTCTTTAGCGGGAACAAAGATCAGGATATTTTTCCACTCACCTACCTCATCCATCATGTACATTAGCCAATTTTCTAAGATGATTTTTGGGGAACTATTAATTTGACCAATTCATATTAACTTAATCAGTTTCATAATGCCAACACAAAATAGTTGATTTTCATATTTATCAAATTAAAATGCACTTCTCATTGCAGAATTTTTGGAAGCAATCCGAAGATCCATACCTTTCCAACAGCATGTTTCATTCTCAAATTCAAACTGAGTTAATTTTGTAGCAATAACAGGAGACATTTACATTAATATTTAGTAGTATTTTTATTTGGTATGTGGTTATATCTAAGTGCACTACAAAATCTATATCTATCCATCCATCCATCCATCCATCTATTTTGCCCACTGCAGGAACCCACATATCTTGGTCCTTCCCATCAGTTCAGCTGTGAAAACAAGGACCTCTTTCCAGAAACACAAGAACATCATGCCACCATCCAATACATCCTGCTTAATTATTGTTTATTTATCTTTTTTTCATGGGAAAAGAAAATTAAATAAATAACATTGTTGGGGAAGGGAAAACAGGAAATATTTTGATTATTACATAACTTCTTTGTTTCTCCCTTTTGTGCATGTGTAAAGGTTTTCAGTGAGCATTCTGATTCTCAAGATTTTCTTTGTGCGCAGCTCTTTGTAAACTACCAGCATCCCATTAGAGGAGTCCAACTGCATACTGGGAATGTAGAGAAGAGGTACTAAGTTTGAAAAGCTCAAGACGTAAGGCTGCTTATCAACGGAGAAAGAGAGCATGTACGTTCTTCTCATCCTGTGTTTCCTCAATACTTGGTCACAGTAGCAGGTCAGGTCTCATCTGGGTCCTCACACACCAACATTTGGTGACCAGTGCCCTTTCTGTTTGATGGTACACAACAGCAGCATAATCTCTTTCTTCCAATGAAGGCGTTTTGGCTTTTATTGGTAAGGATACAGAAGACGGAACCTCTTGAAAATCAAGGGAAGAATTTTGTTACAAAGTAGGTAGGACTTGCAAAAAAAAAATTGTCCACCCACAAAAAGCTCTGCCCTGAAAAACTAGACCATAAAGCTCTTGAGGAGGCAACCTCTCAATAAAGGGCACTTGAGAGTATGGCAGGTCGATGCAATCTCTACCTCTTACCCTCATGGGCCAGAGCAGAGTGTAAGATGGTCTAGTAACCTGGCAGGGCAGAATTCCCTCAAGTACAAACCAGGTAGGCACATGAGGAATAAGGTGGACCTCCAGGTCATAATGGTAGTTTTGAATGATATGCCACACAGATGGTTTCATTGCCTACAACTCCATCTCCAATATTAAGAACCTCAATATCCAGATTAAGTAAAAACAGTCTCCAAGCCTAGCATACTTCCCTAAAGTTCTCCACATTTGCTTTTTCCAGTATTTAGGGAAATCTTGACAAAGCAACCCTTGAAAATGGCACGTTGGTATATATAAAGGTGGTGCAAGGTTGGGTAGCAGAAGACATCAGAAATTGATTACATTTTCTACCGACATTGTGTCTTAGTTGGAGCCACTGCAAGTGTTACATCTGGATAATGTTGTTTCCCTTAAAAGAATCTACTTATGTGAGTAGCACAATGTGGGGATCACAACCATGTCAATTCCTGTCACATTTCAGATAACTGGAGATATGGAGGATATCACAGCTAAGGTGTGAGAATATCTGGCTTACATTCATGAAGATAGGTAGGAAGAATAGATAGGCATTCAAGGGCCAGCCATACTGCTAGTGGCCCAATTTTAACCATGCTGACCAGAGAGGATGAATTTTATCAGCGTTCCAGTATGAGCTACAGTCCTGACAGGCACCAAGTATGTAAGACTGCATTTCTTAATATCCCCCATCCTGCTACATATTGAGACTGCTGGGGGTTGTATCTGACATATCTGGAAAATGCTGGCTTGAGGGAAGCTGTTACAAAAACTTTTTTTTTATCATTGCTCAAGTGTTGGATTCTTATTCACACAATTCTTATTCACACAATTTCCAGGAATGCAAGGTGCGCATGGCTCCCCCACCCCCTTCTTTCCTCTGTTTCACAGGTTCATATTTCTGGTTCTGACAAATGGGAAGAAAGCAATGTCTTTTAGAATCCAGTTAAGTTATTTTCATATTTGATTCTAGAACTGTTTTTGTTTTTAAAAAAGGTATTGAAGAACATAACCCTCATTATTCTATTCTATACCTTACATATGCTGTAGATGTATTCCAGTACATGTTTGAGTACTTATCCAAATATTTATATAAGTGATCCATAAGTCCATATTCATGAGTAGAAGTGAAGCATTCCAGCAAAATGGATATCCAGCTATTGCTACAGATTATATTTAAAAATTGACCCATTTTAAAAACTACTGACATGTTTGAATTTTCACTTTTTTTAAGTCCAGAAAATTTAGCCAAAGAAAGTGTGCAGTGCTCCCCTTAAGAGAAGAAGAAAAAATGACAACTGCTATACATTTCTTGGCCATGTGACACATGTTGCTTATAGGTGCCCAGCTAAATAATGTTGGCTATTGGTGGATGAATTCTGTGTAATAATAATTATTTTTCTAAGCTATTTCATCAGAATGAACAACGCTCTCAACTTTTAGAAGTCCTGTATCACTAGTGTCATGATGCAACCATTTGTAACGAGAAGAAAATGAATGAAAAGCATAATCACACATTGATCAAGTGAAGTCATGGCACAGCAGATTCCAATTTTTTTTAGAACAGAAGAGCTGCAGGCAAGGCTGCTTACCTAGGACCACACTTCACCAAGCCATGTGCTGGACAGAGAAGTTTTGAAGCAAGTGAAATCACGTGCTGCCTCTTCCCCTACGCACAAAGTAACTGTGTACATACCTTCAAAGCTAACTGACCTGGCTGCAAAAACAGATACCTTGTCTGCAGCTTCTGCTGTTCCTGTTGTTCTCTGAATCAAGGTGATTATGAATGTTTTCTTTGTGTCCTTTTCTGAATTTTTGCTGCATCACTTCAGTTGGGATTTTCCATTTCTAAATAGGCCCCTAAATAGGATAAAATTTTTAAATAGAATCTTACAAGAGCAGAAAAAAATGACAATGGCTTAAAATATTCTTTTGACCCTTCTTTCTGTCCCTCCCTCTATACTTAATATACTAATAGATTCCTCAAATAAGAAAAATATTTATTTTTTTAAAAAAAACATTTTTATATGAAGCATTGGAGAGGGAACTCAGCAGTGGTTATCAACGTGTGTGTTCAAAGAAAAGGATCAGCATTTGAATTTGGGGTTATTTGCACATGAATAACAGGCTTGCATGTCTTCTAGTACTTAATTATTACTATTATTATTATTATTATGTCTTCCCAAAACCTAGAATACTACCGTTGTGTAGGACAAGTCCTAAAAGCCCAACACAATTAGTGGGAGCCAGGTTGGGGACTTTTGCTCTTAACGCCAGTAAGTTAGGGCTGCAGCAAAATCCTTGTGACAACAAGAGAAAACAACAGAAATCATCTCACTCCCAATTCTTTGCATCTCTAGAACATTATATGATGGGAACTTCTTCCATGGAATAGTACAAGTTGAGAGCTGGGAGGTTTTGCAAAGTCTGAGTGTGATGGTGCCTCCATTGCAGGACTGAGAAATAACTGATATATAACATGGCACAATTCCATACATTGAATTGTGCCGGTGAATTCAACCATGGCTATGATTTATGATTACTTGTGTATTTTCATTGCTTAGGAATGAAAGTAAGAGAAGCCTTTTATATAAGCAAGGCCTTACCTCCTTAAGTCTTTTAAAAATTTCATTCTTTGTTTAATAACAGTCTCTTCAGCCATTGTGCATTTAAGCATCTAGCAGACATGATCCACCTGAAGTAGATGTAAAACCTATCTACTCAAATGGACAATAGTTTCCTAGGGATTTGTGAGGGTGAAAGGATTATTAATTTTGGTCACACTACAGTGCTAATTGTAGATGACTCTTCTGATTTCTTCTGCTTGCTGGGCAAGGATTTGAGATACTCTAGGTGTCGTCGGGCATCCTCTTGATTCTGCCGGACATAGTAGATTAAATATGAGATCACCATGGCGAACCAGCCGAACATGGTAACCAACATGGCGATGTCTGTGGTCTTTTTATAGATGTTGCAGAAATCTATGTCTCCAATCAACTGCAGAAAAGGCTTCCCAATGTGCTCTTTCCGTGCAGAGGCATCACAGACAATCCCATCAGAAGTACCAGCAACCAGCTCTACTCTCTCAACGAGCTGCTGGAGTGTGCAGTCACAGAGCCAAGGATTGTTGGATAAGTTGGCTTTGGCTTTTAGTGCACTGAAGACATCTTTATTGACTGACACTAGCTTGTTAGAAGACAAGTCCAGTGAATGCAGGTTCTCTGACAAGCCCCTAAAGACTCCAACTTCCATGCGATTTATGACATTGTGGGACAAGTCTAGTTCTACTAGAAGTGGCAAATGTTGGAAGGCGTCATTGGGCAGGAAAGAAATCTGGTTATAATCCAAATATAACTTGTTGGTATCATTGGGTATATCTTTTGGGATAACCGTAAGTTGAGCTTTACTGCAGCGGAAAGTTTTGAAGCCATCTTCAGTGGAGGGGTAACACCCCTTGGGAAAAGTGGTGGCTGAGTGGAAACAAAAGGCCATCAGAACAAAACTCTGGAGGAGCAGCCACATGGCAACTGAGTGGTAGAGGAACCAGTCCAGAAAAGGCATATTGGGGCATCAGGTAACTGTGTATCCACTCTGTCATCTGTTCCTTCCAGTACTTTCTGTGTTTCTTAGGAAGTCTTGGAGAATATGACTTAGGGAGTGCTATCTGTGGAAGACAGAACAGGCGGGGGAAAGCTAGGTATGAACCAACACTTTAGAATTTCCACTATCCAAACAAAAGGTACCTGGTCTGGGTATATATTCTATATTAATGCAGAATTTATTCACATTGGGCAAAACTGAAGTGCAAGAGTGTATCTCATCAACTGGAATGTATCTCATTACATTCACACAAAGGCTAAGGTCACCTTCCATAATTAATTGGGTAGTTTGAGCTGTGATCATGCATACTCATCCCATTCCATATGGCCCTTTAATCATGGTTTACCCAAGACTGAACTTGTTATGTGAACCCAGACTGCCATTTTCTATTAACAGAAGTTTTAACTACAATTTCAAATATGGGTTCACATTCTAAATTCTGCTAACCAGGGGGAGTGGCTGTTCCCAATTTGACAGACACATGAAGTTTTAGGCAAGCTTAGGACTTTGATGAGGAAGGACTAAGGTATTGAGGGATAGCACTGTCCACTTCGGTGATTTAGTGTAATATGCACTCAGTAGGTAAAATAAATAAAATATATCTGCAGGTGGATGAGAGGCACCTCCACGTACTCATGTTAATTTGCAGACAATTTATCTGTCTGTTACACTTTTCCAGCAAAACACACCCAAAGCGACTATAGATGTAGATATTAGCTACTTATTTTTTTAATATATCTAATGAAAATGTTGCAACTTAACTTGAGAACCTGTGAAGTTCCCATATACATATTAAGATAGCCTCCTTTTTCTTATCCATATTAGCCCATGGAGGTTCACTGGATGACTTTGGACCCAATCACTTTCTCCCATTCCAACCTACCTCACAGGGTTGCTGTTGTGGGGAATAACAAAGGAAAGAATACGATGCATGCCAATTCCTGTTCAAAAGATGGGAGATGATAGAGGGAGGGAGGGAGGAGGGAAATTAGGTAGATGATAAACAGATAGGTAGAGATGAGACTATAATTCTTTTAACAATGCCACATTATAAAAAGCAAGCTTCTGGCAAGGTCACCGACTCCTAAATTCCACACCGGAGTATTGAATTCAACCACCTAGTCCTGGTTGCAGATGAAACATACATCAGCTCAGGTGGCTAGACCAGGAATTGAGAACATGATGCAAATCAACCATTAACTGTTTTTTCAGACTATAGAGATCTCAATTCTTTTTTGACAGAATTAGTTGATCTGAAGAAAGTATAGTGTCGGTAGCCTGTTAGAACAGCCAAAGATTAGCACAATGTAACTGCAACACAAATCCATTATAGTAATGACCAGGATGTAAAGCATTGCACATTTACTATGGTACTAAGATTTTCCCTATGATATCCAGAACATATTTTGTTGAGAAGCTTCAATTATCCATTCCACTCTCCAACTGGGGGTACAAGGGGCTGTTATCAGCACCCCACTGGGCATACTCATAAGTATCATTCTGAGAGGAAACAAAAGACTTTTTAAGAGTTTGGAGGGAAATTAACCTGGGATTCTGAAAGCAGTTTGTGAGCGGTTTTTTTTTCAAAGATCTGTCATGGGTACACTTCACAAGCTGGTTGCCATGATGGATCACATCAGTCACGAAACAGAAGGTTATGTTTTTCACACCATCATCTCTGGTCCTGCACAATGTTTATCACTACAATTTAGCACCATCTTTTTTTTCTGAGTAGGTGACAGTCACTTATCACTTTTATTTTTTTTAAAAAAAATTCCATTCTTGCAAATAAAATGAGGTTTGAACCTGTCACTTTGCTTTGCAACAAGTCAGATTCCCATTTAACTTCTATTGGTGTAAAATAATATTTTTTTAAAAAAATTAGTTGCATGAGAGCCTGGTGAGGAATATGTTTATAAGCATCACTTCTGGAGTAGGCTTTGTATTTAAAACAGACAGATCTGCTGAAAAGACATGTCCCTTATTTGGGGAGCTTACAGATGATATGTTATATAAGAAAATAATGATTGGACCATTGCTTCTGAATTACTTCCTTGTCTCAGTCCAATGTATTTTAAACAAAGAAATATGGGATAAGGCTCCCTCATTCCAAGTAACACAATCCAACTATGTCTGAACAAGAAAGACTGTAGTTTGAAAAAAGTTCGTTAAGAGAGACACATATAGACTTGAAAAGTTTAGATGCTCCATACTATATTTTGTAAATTCCCAAATAAATTCTAAAAGAGGGGGGAAAAAATCAATCAGATGAGTTTGCGGTGGAGTTGGGGAAGCTAACCATTAGCAAAAAAAAAAAGAGAGAGAGAAAGAAAGAAAGGAAACCTGCTCAGAGGTAGACCCAGTTCCATTGGCATCAAATCAGCTGTTTGTGAAATATACCCATGTAGCAGTTTCAACCTTTGTCCTGCACAGAAATGTCACTGCCTATCAAGTAACCAAGAGAATCTCTAGTGTCTGGATTAAGCTTTAATGTGTTTACTCTCTTTTCAGCTATTTTAAACACCAGATATCAGTTCAGTTCAGTTCAGGTATCAGTTGAAATAACTTCATTGGATTTCAGTGGGAAAGAGAAAAAATAATTGGGTGTGTCATTTACCATATAGCTTGCAAACTCTCCAAGTGGTTTCACCTATATGTTAAATTTCCTGGAGATAAAATAGAACAACAGAACCAACAGAGACATGTGTTTGCTATCCAGTTCTGAATATGAATAATTCACTAATATGTCCAAAACAATCTCCTACCCACAACTGTAAATAGATTGAAACATCTGCCACGTGAGCATCATTCAGAATTTTTTTTTACAATTAGAAAATAAATAAAATAATAAGTATAATAAACAGAAAAATCACCATACCCATCTCAGAAGTTGTTTCCTTCCCCTATTTTTTTTTTAAATGTGGAAAGTAATATCTACTGATCCAACTTCATCCCAAAATGCACAAGTTTTAGCCTTGGAAAGGGAAGATTTAAAAGGGGGAATCTTGTGTATCTGATTGAATTATCTAATACAGTGGTACCTCCGTGATCATTGTTAATTGGTTCTGGGTGGTGCAAAAACAATGAGTACCAAACCATTTTTCCCCATAAGGATTAATGTAGTAAGTCACAAGGCAGCCAACATCGGCAAGTTCTAGCTAGTGCATTGAGTACCAAACAAACAATGAGTACCAGGACAAAAAATTTGCATCAAAATGCATTGAATATCAACTCTGATGGATTTCAAAGTAGTTGAGTACCAAAGTACCACTGTACTTGTTGCAAATCACATGCTAAACCATGATTTATTATATAGTTAGTTGAATATGCCACATATTTTGGTTTATATTTTTATATCATATAAAGTATGAAAGTATGATTCATCAACTACAAATAGAGGCAGGCATTGATTTATGACAATTGAGCCCAAATATTTTTTTGCTAATTTGTTAAGTAAGTTTTGCCCCATATGATAAATTTTCCTGCCACATTTGTTAAGTGAATCACATCAGTTGTTAAATTAATAACATAGTTGTTAAGGGAATCTTCCTTGACTTTGCTTGTCACAAAAGGTGACCACATGGCCCTGGGACACTGTAACCATCATAAATATGAATCAGTTGTCAAGTGTCTGAATGTTGATCACATTACTATGGGGATGTTGCAGTGGTCCTAAGTGGGAAAAATGGTTATATATTTTTTTCCGGAGGCTTTGTAAATTCAAATGGTCACTAAACAAACTATTATAAGTTGAGGACTACCTGTATTTGTTTCCATATAATACATGACACACAAACCAAATAAATTAAACTCAAGGGTTAATGCTGCAAATTTTCTTTGTAATTAGGAATCAGTGGCTAAAGGTCACTCTCAATGCACCTCATTGAATACTAGCTTCTGCTTATATATCTTTATATCTTTACCTCTAAGGATGCCGAGAATATTTGTAACTTTTCTTCTAAAAAAGGAAGGAAAGAAAGTGTGTACATCATAGTCAGGAAGCAAAATGTACATACTGTACTTTTTTAATGAACACTATGCAATCAGTGGGACAGCCTAGTGCAGAGGTGGTATTCAGCAGGTTCTGAACCGGTAGCGGAAGTTTTGAGTAGTTCAGAGAACAGGCAAATACCACCTCTGACTGCCCCCCCCCCATCTATTCTCTGCTTCCCGAGTCCCAGCTGATCAGCTGAGTCTTCTTTGGTTGCCCTGCACAGGAGAACGGAGCTGAAAGCAAGTTAGTGGGGTGGGGAGGGAATGGGGATTTTGCAGTAACCTTCCCCTGCCACGCCCTCCAAGCCACACCCACAAAACCGGTAGTAAAAAATTTGAATCCCACCACTGGCCTGGTGGCTTTCCCAGATATACTCAATGGATCTTTGCCCAGTATATATATATATATATACATATATCTTACAGCAGAACTATAAAAGGTTAAGAGTGTAGAATTCCATCAAAGGAGCCAAGCAAAGTTGTTTGGGTCTTTCCTCCCTTTCATGAAAATGGAATTTTTGCCAAAAAGGCAATCCCATTAAATGATGAAAAAGATTCAGTTTTAGTCCTTATAAATGATGGATTGTTGTGCTTAAAAGCACCCAGAATGATGAGGAAATCCCTGCCTAAGATAGACTGGCCAATTAACCACTCTGATTACCAAGAATGCTTGGAGCAAGCCCCTTTGAAATTAATATACATTAAGGGGCTTTAGGTCTAAGAAATTACAGCTTTCACACATAAAGCATATTATACTTGTTTTCAAGACAGTAGCTAAAGAGACCTTAGCCAGTTAGGGCAACCATTTGCAGCAGAGCTCTGATATAATTCAGGAACTAAAGGAACTAAAACTACTAACAGAATAAGGAAGTTGGATCACAGCCTTGTATCAAGAAAAGAGCACAGGAGCTAGAATTGAGGTGGGAGCTAAAGTGGCTGCCAGTGTCGAAGGAGAAACTGTGAGCATTCAGTGGATCAGTGTTTCTTAACTTCAGCAATCTTCAGATGTGTGGATTTTAGCTGCCAGAATTCCCAAATCAGCATGCTGCCTGGAGAATTCTGGGAACTGAAGTCCACACATTTGAAAA